GTCCCATTGCTCTTGTGCCCCCCCCCCCCCCCCGCTGTTTCATTGACTTACTTCATGTGTCCACTGTCATGAGGACCAGGTGGTCTTCTGGAGTCAGCTGCCTCAGGACTAGCTCAGCCCTGTGGGTCATTTCCCTGGAGCCCTTGATTTGCCCGTCTCTGTAGTGCGGCCGGTAGCCCCTTTCTCTCCCTCACAGGACTCATGAGCTCCAGGTAGCCGGGCTGCTAATCCAGTGACTGGTACATCACGTTCTCAGCCGGTTCTCAGCTCTTCTCACTCCCCTGCTCCATGTTTACAGAGCAACCTTCAAATATGCGCATATGTTTGATCACTGTATAACTGAAGCCCAAGCACAAAAAGTTTGTGAGTCTACAACTGTACCTCATGGTGTTTCACTAATAAAAATTATTTTTAAAATGTGCATATTCCGGTCAGAGAGCTGAGGTTCCCTTCCTGGAACCACCTCATTCTCTGAGCACTGCTGGGTGTGACTCCAAGACCATAAAAGGAGGGAGAGGGACAGGAACGGGGACAGGGACAGGGCTTAGGGATGAGAGACTCTTTCCGTGTTCTTAGAGACAGGCTGGAGGGAAAGTGGGGGGTGATGGGAGGGAAACTGAGGACACTGGTGCTGGGAAATGTATTCTGGTGAAGGGATGGGTACTGAACACTATAACTGAAGCCTAGTCATGAACAGTTTTGTTGGGGTCTATCTCACAGTGATTCAAAAAAAAAAATCTTGAAAAAAAACCCCATAAAACAAAGTGAGTAAATCAGAGGTTCTCTAGGTGCCTACATGGCTCTGCTCGCGATGGGGTTGTGTGTCTGGCTGAGTTCAGTGTCCCGGCAATGGCGCATTTTCACATCCAGAGTTGAGTTGAGCAGGCATTGGACCAGTGAGCATCCATCCAGGGACCTGTGTCTCCATCAGAACCTATCCAGTTTTCCCCATTCCTTGGTTCTAGTTGGGCCGTGGGGAAACCTTCCCTGAAACTAGTTAGAAAAGATAGATCCTGAATCATCTCCTCTGTTACGCAGAATCTATCAAAAGTCAAACTTGTAAAACAGAGTAGATCAAAGGCTACCAGAGCCTTTAGCGTAGGGGAAAAGGGTCAAAATTGGCCAAAGGGTTCCAGCTTCAGGGATAGAAGAGATTCCAGAGGTTCGGGTGAGTGCATTGTATGTGCTACCCTAGGCCCATTCCTGGCCTAACCACATGGCCCCTGAGCACTGCTGGGATGGACCAGAATCCCGGCACTAGATGCTCTGCATCCTTGTTCCTTGCCCTGAATTACAGCCCCAGTGGCCAGGAATCACAGCTGCGGCTCCCAGACCCCCCGGGAACCTGTTTGGGACATAGCCAACACTGGGGTATCCTTGTGCCTCAAACCAAGCACAAAACTAAACTGAGCAACAGATTCCCATGATGAGATGACTCAGTTCTGGCATCCGAGGCCCAGGGCGCTGGCTCCCCGAGCACCCGCTGTTCGGGCGCGGTGTGTGGGCCTTGGCTGAGACTAGCACCACCACGGCCAGTGTCCGGGCTGCTCGCGGCCAGCTCTTCCTCGGGGGTCACATCTGCTGTTGTGCACCCTCCGCTCACGCGGTGTGGGGGGTTGTTTCTGTCACAGGGCTGCGGGGGTAGGGATGGGAGACTTTTCCCCATGATCTCTCTTACAGCTGTTCAGTAGAAGCATAATTTGCACACCATGGATGTCACCCATTTAAGGGGTGTGGCTCCCCGGCTTTAAGGCTTTTATAGAAATATTTTCACCGTTTCTCTTTCTTCCTCCCCAATCCCTTGCCTCTGAACTATCTCCCCTCAATTTTTGAGCCCCTAGGAAATGCCTAATCTGTCGTTTTCTCTAGAATATTCTGGATATTTCTCATACATGAGTGAATCAGGAGCTCGTGACCCCGGGTACGTGGCTGTGTGCTGTGTCTCCGTGGCACGTGGCTCCTCTGTCCCTGGGTACTGTTCTAGGGCAGGTACTGTTCTCTGCCCAGCTTCATGAGTCTGCGAGTATGTGTGTTCCTCATGCTTTGGAGATGTCAGAGCTTAGCTATTAGCTATCTATGCACAATTGTTCTCAGTTTCCCACTTGTTTGGGGTGGCGGTGGGGGTTGCTTAGGGCACCTGGACACCTTTCTGGTGATTGTCAGCCGCCTGGTCCCACAGTTCCAGGGGACCACCAGGGCTACGCTCAGCAGTGCCCAAGAATGCCCAAGACTACACTCGATTGATGTTGGGAGAGGGCAGGTGGCACCAGGAATTGACTGGTGTGCCCACTCCCTCCCTGTACCATCTCCCCACTCCACCAGCTTCTTTTTTGAGGGGGGTTTCCAGCAGCTCTGAGGAGGCTCCCCCGACCTTTCCCGTATAAGGCATAACTCTAAACCTGGAGTCACCATCTCAGCTTGAGTTCCAGCTTATTTTTTGTTTGTTTTTGAGGATAAAAAGGCATTTTTATTTATTGATTTTTAATTAGTCATCACCAGTTTATTTTTTTTTTCGGGAGGGGGGGCAGTCACACCCAACAATGCTCAGGGGTTATTCCTGGCTCTGCACTCAGGAATTATTCTTGGCAGTGCTCAGGGGAACCATATGGGATGCTGAATTGAACCCTCTCAGCCACAAGCAAGGCAAATGCGCTATCTGCTGTACTGTTGCTCCAGCCCCTGGCATTTTAATTTTTATCTCAGCCCCACCCAGGTCATTCTCGGGATTGCTTAGATGAGGAATCCCTGCCCAGCCATTACGTTCTGGATACACATCATAGCACAAAAGATCACTTTTATTTTTGTCCTCCTTCAAACAGTTTCTTAACCTATCAGTATAGTGATGCAGACCACACAGTTTCTTTTTTCTCTCCTTTTCCTCTGTGTCATTATTTAAGCGTTAATAATTCACATTATTTAAGCGTTATAATTCACGGCTTGAGTGTTCAAACTGAGGGCCAAATAAAGTGTTCCCTAGCAATGAAAGTACTACGAGTGAAAAAAATTAAAATACCTTTGGAATTTAGCAGAGGATCCCCCCACCCCCCACCTCCCACCCCAGCCAAGCAAGTTGCTTTGTATAGGACCCAGCTCTGGGACTGGGGTGTCCCGGGCCAGACACCCTTTCCAGCCAGGAGCCGATTCCATCCCAGGTTGCCCTTCGCCCCACAGCAGGGTGGATCTTGGCAGAGATGCAGCCAGTGGGGCCCAGGCTGAGCTTCCTAGCTTGTCCTGATGCTTTGCAAGTGGTTGCTGCTTTGCTGTTGTTCAGTGTGAGAACGAGGCGGGTGGAGGAGCAGTGGGTGAAGTTGTACTGAGTATGCCAGGCTGGGAGCATGCCCTGTGCCACTGCAGAGCACTGTTGGCCATGGTTAGCGTGGCTGGGATTTCCTGTGCTCATTGGGGACCTGGTGGGTCCCTCTCCTAGTTGCCTCCCCTAAGGATTCCCCCTCCTTGATAATCTCCGCAATGTGGTAAACGTGCTCTTCCCTCCTGACGCCTAAGTGATTCCATCCATGGGATGGTGATCTGGGGAAGGAGGGAAAGGACGTGTCTGCAGGCTACAGCCATGCAGCAAGAGAGGGAAGGCAAATGCGATTCTCAGCCAAACTCTGATCGCATGAGGAGCGCCCGCCTTTAGTGAAATTTCAGCTCTTGTATTTGAAAGTTGCTAACAGTGTGGGTCTTAAAGGTTCTTACTACCTGGGGAAGGTCCACTGTTGACAGTGTTGAGATGGATGAAAACCTGCCTTATCCTGACCACCATTGTGCCATAGAGAAAGCCAAGGATGATGACATGTCTGAAATCAATGGGAAATGTCAGGGAGAGCTCAGTGAAGACAGTATTTTATATACTTTCATTCTCTCTTGCCACGTCTGTGAGGACAAAAACTTCGGCTTTAAAATTTCATCTTGATGGTCCTTGGCAGATTGTAGCTCTTCCTGGAGATCGCTTATGTCCCAAGAAAGGTTGATGCCTGGCATCCTGTAGTAAAGATCCGACACAACCTCTAGGTCAGGGTAGGCGCCCACTGGCAGCTGTTTCTGAAGCCCTTCTCCCCACCGCTCCATGATTTGGGGAAGGGCAAGATTTAGGTGCAGCAGTTTCTAATGAGCCACACTGGTCTTTCTCTCTAGGATGATGCTATCTGCTTTAAAGAGACCATTTTTGGTCTCCCCATGCTCCCCACAAGCATTTGATAGCACCATGGATCATGAATCCCTCAAGGAAGAAACCTCAAGGATGGTGCAGGCTGCCATATAACATAAAGCCCTTTCTCCCAAAGAGCTGTGACAACTTGCTGCAATAATGTTTGCTTTTCATCTCATCTTACTGCTGGGAGACCAGAAGCAAACCCTACTGTCTGGATGCTGTCAAGATCCCAATAGGCAGTTTTTGTTTTTGTTTTTTTCCCGCCAGAGGTTTTCTTGGCAAAAATTTAAAAAGGTGGAGACGTGGCAATATGACTGAACAAGACACCATGGCCTTTGGTGGTAGTCATTTAGAGTTTCTGTCGTGCTTCTCAGCTTCCCAGAGTACATTCCCATTTCACTGAACTCACACAGGTCCCAGGGGCAGGTAAGGCCACGTGGTATCCCGGTTAAGGAATCGAGGTTGCCACCGCTTACCTGCCAAGTGGCCACCTGGGCTAAGTGCTCTAAGCCTCTCTTCTTGAGTTTTGCACCTGGGAGCAATGCTGCTTCCTCTTAGGATTGCTGTGAAGCTGACAGGCAGCAATGCATGAACAATGCCCGCAATAGGGTGAGCAGAGCACTTACTGACAGCCGTTTGGATACGATTAGGTTTCAAAAGCCTCACTTTGCAGATGGAGAAGCGGAGAAAGGCACCCACTCTGCCAAAGATCACACCGTGGAATGCCATTCTGATTCTCCTGCACATGTCCTCTGTCCCCTGGCCCTGAGCCGAGATGTGTCCATCAGACGTGGTGCACTCACCTTTTCCTTCCCCCCCTTTCCCCTCCCTCCTTTTGTTTTCTCAGAACATCATCAAGAAGGTGATTGGGCAGAAGTTCGTGTACAAGTTCGTCTCCTTCCCGGAGATCCTGAAAATGGACCCCCACTCGGTGGAGCTCAGCCGCGAGGGCCTCTTGCTGCAGGACAGCGACTGCAAGGTGTCCCCCGAGGCCCGCGATGTGCACCGGCACGGCTTGTCCGCCCTCAAGAGCGCCAGCCGCAACGAGTACATCCACTCGGGGCTCTACTCGTCCTTCACCATCAACTCCCTGCAGAACCCGCCCGAGCCCTTCAAGGCCATCAAGACGGAGAAGCTGGAGGAGCAGCCCGAGGACGGGCCCCCCGTGGAGGAAGTCAGGACTGTCATTAGGTTTGTGACCAATAAAACCGACAAGCACACCAGCAGGCCCGTGGTGTCCCTGCCCTCCACCTCGGAGGCCTTCCTGGCCTCGTCCGTCTCGGCCAAGATCTCCTCGCTCATGTTGCCAAATGCCGCCAGCATCTCGTCCTCCACCTCGCCCGCGTCCTCGCGCTCCCCCTCCTTGTCCCCCCACTCGCCCCTCCCGCCCGAACACCGGAGCCTCTTCCTGGAGGCTGCCTGCCAGGACTCAGATTCCCTAGAGCCCTTGAACCTCTCCGCAGGCTCCAAGAGCAGGTCTCCATCTCTTCCCCCCAAGGCCAAAAAACCCAAAGGCTTGGAAATCTCGGCGCCCCCGCTGGTGCTCTCTGGCACCGACATTGGCTCCATCGCCCTTAACAGCCCGGCTCTGCCCTCTGGCTCCCTCACCCCGGCCTTCTTCACTGCCCAGGTAAGAGTCCTCCCTGGCGTCCGGCCGCGCCCAGGCAAGGTGGCACATGGGAAGGAGGAGCCACTTGGGGAGCTTCTGTCTTTCCAAAGTTAAGATCTTCGGGGTGGCATGTGTGAGGCTCTGGGTCCAGCCCCTGGCACTGCGCGTTCCTCACCCAGCAACACAGAGGGGGACTATTAACAAAACAAATGGGGAGGAGGCTCTGTGCCAGGGAGATGGGGTAAGGCACTTGTTTGGCATGCGACCAACTCCAGTTTGATCTCTGCCACCCCACACTGTTCCCTGAACCCTGAGTGCAGAGTCAGGAGTAAGCCCTGAGCACTACCCAGTGTCGCTCCCAGACACAGAGATTAGAAGGCAGGGGAGAGGCAGAGTGATGGCTTCAAGGGCTGGAGCTCTTGCTTTGCTGCGGGAGGCCCAGGCTCATCACTCCGGCAGGAGTGCCCAGCACAGAGACGGGACTAGCCCCTGGGCACCACTGGGTTTGGTCCTCACACAGTCAAACCATGCGGCCAAGAAAGTAACATGGCAGAAAAACAACCACTACTCAAAGGCAGCAGAGACTGAGAACCGGTCTTTAATGGGAAGAATACTTACCTGTAGGGGGCCTGCGGAAGGGGTAGGAGCAGAGGTGGGGGGAACACCGGGGCACGGCGCAGGGGAGCTGGCGGGCTGGGGCAGGGTGTTGCAATGGTTTTGCAAGAAACTGTGCTACTATGAATATTGCAAATCATGGTGCCTAAAAAAAAAAGAAAGAAAGAAAGAGGAAGTCACCACAGACCTGTGCCTGTGCCTGGAAGCTCCCGTGTGTGTGTGAAGGACAGTCACCTCCAACCCACAGGATCCATGGGAAAAAAGACTTGGACCCTGGGAGCAGGACAGGTGCCACTAGCCACTGCTGTGGTGAATGCAGGAATGCCTCCGGGGCAGCTGAGCAGGCAGGTGATGTTCTGGAAGGCAGCTGGGCTTCATGATGGTCCATCCCGTGGGCACTTGACAGCTAGTATGCCTCTCGTGTGCCAATATGAAGATGGATGCTAGGCTGGGGCAGGGGTTCGGGGATGGGGTGCACACACTGAGTCCCATCCCTGGCATTGCCCAGGCACTGGGCATGGACTCTGAGTCAGAGCAGGCCTAAGTAGCACCACCTCAGTGAACCCTCTGGCCCTGTTGGCCTCCTTCACTGGGGGTGGCCTCCGGGCCTCCTGAACACTGCTTGAGGCCAAGTCACCCCGGAATGGTGTCCATCGAGGCCACTGTGGGGAAGGTCGTCTGGAGGACACGAGAACTACAGCAACCCCCGGAAGTTGCCGCTGTGAGGAGACCCAGGTCCCACGGGGAGAGGAAGCCACGGAGCAGGGGTTTAGCAGAGTCAAGCCCCATGGGGTGAAGCCCTTTGCCTTTCAGGGTGCTTGGAGGTGCATTCCTTCTTCAGCTGGCATTTTAGGGCAGATGGGTGCATGGGGTGGGAGGGGGTTGCTTTGCCGCTAGATTCATAGGCTGCTGCTTGCTCAGCCACCAGGGCTGCTCCTGGCTCTGAGTCTAGGGGTCATTCCTGGTGGTGCTCAGGGGACCAGGAGGTGCCTGGGAGGGACTCTTGGACCCTTCTTCCCGGCCCTATTATGGGAGGGTGTGAGGTTGACGGAATTGAGCTAGGACAGCGAGCGACAGTCAGGAGCAACTGTTACCACCAGGCCCTGTGGCCCCTCCTAGAGATCCTTAACTGGTGGCTTCAGAGGAGATAAAATGGAGTGTGCCGTCACAATGTCTTGGTGTCCTGACAATAAAAAAATCCCCCCCACCCCCACCCCTGATCATGTATACGTAATGTAAGGGTTATTTCTTTATGTGCTGTAGCATTCCAAGACTTGCCCCCATCCTTTTCAGCTAGAAACAGGGAAGAAAGGAGGAGAGGATGGAGACGGTCTGGGCATGACCAGGTTACAGCTATGGCTGCAATTGCCCCAGGGGACCCGCTTCGGCCCTAGCTGGGCCCAGATGCAAAGTTAGAGGTATGACCTGATGAGCATGAAAAAGTGTCAGTGTTCTGCCGTTCTCACGGTGACACAGGGAGAGGTCCCCATGATGGAGCACTGCCCAGCTTGCATCTTCATTGTCAAGACACCATCCTGCTTTCGGTCCTCAGCACTGGGTGGCCCTGGGGTGGCACTGCTGTCCTGCCCCCAAACGAAGCACCAATTCAAAGAGTGTCATAGCATGCCTGTGGCGCTTGTCCAAAGTGCTGCCGAAATTGTCCTTATTCCTCCTAAGAAAGACGACTGACATAGGCAGACGGGACAGGACACCAGAGACCCTTACAGCACGTACGACAAGGTCCTGAGTGAGGAGACTGGAGAGGGCGACAGGCCAGCTGGGCCCCCAAAGGAGCACTGCAGCTGGAACCCAGCCACCGAGGTCATCTCGGATGCTGCTGGGAGCGCCAGGCTGTTATCTCTGAGGGCAGACGCTCCAGAAATGGAGATCGGAGGAGCCGAGACACAGGGCCCTCCTGGTTCCTGGCCAGGCGCCCTGGAAGCCGCGCTGGCGCCAGCTGGAACCAGCTCCCCGGCATCTGCGCCGCACGCCACCTGCCCCTCTCCCCCCTGTGGGCCTCTTCCGTTCCCACTGCCGCCTGGACTCCGAACCGTGTTCAGTGGGTCTGGAGTGTCAGAGCCTGGCCCAGGCATGGCGTCGCCAAGTGCGGTAGAACATGCTGGACGGCACTGGGGAGGGAGGATGCACGCCACCCCCCGGCCCCCATGCCGGCTGTCTCATCTGTTTGGACTTGGATTAGCGCTGGTTGCATCTCCATTTTTGCGGCACCTGCTGCCGGCTGTGACAGCTTGGAGGCAGAATCGTCAGGGGTGGGTGGGAGCTTGGACACCCTCCCATAGACACCCCTTGTGAGGAGTGGTCAGGGTCTCTGGCCACTTCGTCTGCTATTTCTTAAAAGAGGCCCATTTCACACTTAGTATGATTGCAGCAAGGAAGGTTTGCCTATTTTGGGGGGTGGGGGGTTGTCTGGACCACAGCACCTAGCAGTGCTCAGGACAAGCGCCTTACCTGCTATACTACCTTTCCAGCTTGAGTTGGCATTTTTTTTTAATAGGGTGGTGCTGGGGGCCATGTAGTACTGGCGGTCAGACTCAGGCCCTTGCCCCTGCCAGGTATGTGCTCTGCCAATTCGAACTGATACCCCAGCCCCAGAAAGATTGACATTTTCCTGCATTACACACTTGGGAGTCTTCCTCACTCACGTTGGCCTGCAGCTTCCTCCACGCTGCCCTCGGGGGCGGATGTCCAAGGAGATGTCTGCCCCGGAAGAAGTCACTGGCAGTTTGTAGCACACGGTGCTCCAGGTCAGGTGCCTAGTTTTTCTTTTATTATTATTATTTATTATTTTTTAATGAATCACCGTGAGATAAAGTTGGAGTTACAAATAGCACAGTGAGTAGGATGCTTGCCTTGCACAAAGCCAACCCGGGCCAACCCCGGTTCAATTTTTCCGCCCCTCTCGGAGAGCCCGGCAAGCTACCAAAGTATCGTGCCCACATGGCAAAGCCTGGCAAACTCCCCGTGACATATTTGATATGCCAAAAAACAGTAACGACAAGTCTCACAATGGAGACGTTACTGGGCCCGCTCGAGCAAATCAATGAACAATGGGAGGACAGTGCTATAGTGCCACGTTTCAGTCATACAATGATTGAGTGCCCACCTCTCCACCAGTGCCTGTTCTCCACCACCAATGTTCCCAGTATCTCTCCCACCCACCCCCCATTTCCTCTGCTCTCCTCCCCACTCCCGCCTCTGTGACAGGCACATTCCCTTTTACTCTCTCTTTCCTTTAGGGTGTTGTGGTCTGCAATGCAAGTATTGAATGGCCATCATGTTCAGTCTGTAGTCTACTTTTGGCACGCATCTCCCATCCCGAGCGGGCCTCAGGTGTCTAGTTTTGCCCAGCTCTGGACTGGCCAGCCAAAATGACCCTGGTGTGTCGTTTCCTTCTTCCTAACCCGGGGAGTCCGCTTCTCCCCATCTATCATCTCTGTTGAAACTTCATGGTTCCACCACCTCCACCCAGTTCTGGCCTTTCTGTCTTTGCTCTCCTCAGCCACTCTGTGTACCTACCCTGGGCCCACAACGGAAATTTCTATTTTGTTCCTCCCTCTCTTAGGACCAGCCCATTCAGTGCTTTCCCAGGCAATTCCATTCTTCCAAAGCCTGTAAATTGTTGGTTTTTATGTGAATCAGACTCAGGAGATTACAGAGAGGCTTCATCAACTTTTATTGGAAGATCTTTTTGTTTGTTTTGGGGCCACGCCCAGCAGTGCTTACTCCTGGCTCTGTTCTTGGGGATCACTTGGAGTTGGGATGGGGGAGCACATGTACTGCCAAGGATCGAACCCAGGGCAGCCATATACAAGGCAAGTGCCTTACCCATTGTGCTATCTCTTTGGCCCCCCTTTTTTTATTGGGAAAGGGGGTATTTTTTTCATTCCCAAGATGACATTGTCCTGGAAAGTTGGTGAGCCTCCCTTAGGGGAGGAAGATGAGGGATGCTAAGTCCTTTTCATCTGCTATTTCTTAAAGCCATGGTGACTTCCTGTACTCTCAGAACGCCAAATCTGATGATCCACAAAAAATGTCTGGTTGAGCAGCTCACGCATATCCTTTTTAGCCAGCCAGGTAACAAATCGTTGCCACTTGCTAATGAATTCATTTGGGAGATAATTGTGTGAAACACCTGCTGTTCCACCACCATCTCTGGGGACCCGGAGCTGGCGAACCACAGGCCCTGCTCTCAGGAAGGCCTCTGGGCCACGGGTTACTTCAAGCTGCGTGAGATCTGCCTGCAATCTTAAAGCCCGGCTGAGGAATTTCACTTGTTTTGTCAGGAAAGCAACAGCTGCTAGAGATAGGGGTCAAGAGAAACCTAAGTCCCTCTCAGAACTTACCAACAATCACTGAGCATTCTTTGTGGGAAAGGACGTGGGGGC